GGAAATCAAATATCGGCCGTCATCGCTCGCAATATAAGTTGACTTTTGACATTTATTTTAAAAAAATTCTACATCCGACCGGCCGTCCGAATCGATCGGATGAGCCATTTCATCCCAACCAACTGCATGGATTATTCATCGGCACTCCTCATCCAAGATAATTCCCAAGCATTGCAAACTTTCAGATTTGATCATATATACTAGTCAATAATAAATGTTTCCAATATTCGCGAATTTCTTTGAAATACACAAATTTTAATATCGTTGCCAACATTGACTTTTTCTCCTATTGATACTATCTTTTATTTTTTAAACAAATTATATTTCATTGCAGCTTCCAACATATATTTCTCTCATTAACCATTTATAGGTATTATTACTTATTGATATTAATTTACTGCACATTATCATAATTTGTTAATATTATAATCCACATTTAATGTACTAACATTTGCAGTTCTACGTGTCAAATGCAGTATCTACGTTATTAAAGTAATTACACTGCGACCTAGAAAACTTTTCTCGGATAAAAAACATACGCGTATGCGCTATTTATCTGAAAGATAGATAAAGACTTTTTACAAATGATTCTGTCGCTTAATTACTATAAAAAGGTTGTTGCAAACTTTTTCTTGCACGTGAAAAGGAGGACGCGCAATAGAATTGAGGTATACTGGCGCGCAGTGTAAAGTAATTTTTCGCACCAGTATTAGAACAGTTCCCTTTCAAGCTCTTCTTGCATTTTCCGCTCGACTACTCGCCTGGAACTACAAAACGGGACGCAAGAACTTTGCAAAAACAACGTGGACAAAGAAAAAACAGTGGAGAATCGACGTGCGTTGACTGTTACTGTTACTAGTTGAAAGGAAGAAAGAGAATATGTATGAGAAAAAGAGAAAGCGAGAAAAAAAGAGAGAGAGAGAGAAGAGGCAAGACAAAAGAATAAAATAGCAGGAAGTGGTGCAAAGAAGACGCGAAAACAGATGAACGCACGATGCTTGCTAAAGAAAGCAAGAAGTGATATAGCTGTAATTCGTGACAATAATGTCGAGACAACCTCTAAAGAAACAATGCCGTCATTTTGCCAATTCTCTCTATGTTGTGCATAGCGTGTCTTCACTTTCGTACCTTCGACAATGCGCGCAGAATGTGTTACCTAAGTATATTTTTTAAAAAAGCGTCAAAGATAAAAAAGATGTTAGTATATTAGAAAATTAATAGTATCGATGACAAATATAGATCCATTTATTTAATTATTATTACTAATAATATTATATATATTTGAATTTTTCATATCACATCAGTTGATAATTTCCACTGTTGTTTTATGCGTTCTAAAGATCCTAATAGCGTCTTAATATCGCGATAGCTTCGCATCCGGAACCGTGTACTTTCGCTCGCCAAGCACACACGTGCCGCATCGGGAGTTTACACGGCTCGTGTTGTAACAAGTATGACATCGCGGACAGCAGACAGCGCGTGTAGCAGCAATATTACGTGTGCGGGTTGCAACGGCATCAAGGATACCGAGCTGCTTATGGAATACCGAGGAAACTGAGCTGCAGGAATTTAAAAAGAGACAGACGCCCGAAGAGAGCGGAATAGCGATGAAGTCGGAAAATAGAGGGTATCGTCGGGCCAATTACGAGAGTTCTTTCATCACGAGGATCCGACAAAAGAAAAAAACAAAGGGATGTAAGTGCCACTTGTGCGTTTTTTTCCACGTTGGAATCCAAATTTATGAGATTAAATGCAACTAAAGAAGAATAAAATAGTCAGATAAATAGAGATAGTCATCGTAATTTTTGAAATTAAATTCTTATCCTCGTAATGTGTGACCATCATTAGATTCAATCATGTAAATTATATCTTAATACGAGGATTAACGAGAAAAATCTCTTTGCGCTCCTTATTTTTCTCTAAAATGCGTCAGAGAAGGTTTAAACCAACATCTCGAATGCAGAAATCTCTTCGGGAAAAAAAAAACGCAAACGGCAAGAGAGTTTGCTCGCCCCGGACGAAATGGCGCAGCTTTATATTCCCGCTTTAGAGTCCTTTTTATTCCCAGTTTACGGCGCGAGTCTGTCGAATAGCCAATCACCAGGGTCCTACGGGACATAGAAAGCTGGAGGCGAGCGAAAAGACCGGCGTGATCGACGAAGCTTCTTCTCGAGCCGAGACTTTCACGCGTACGTGAGTGCACATGTAATTAGCTGCGCCCTCTTTATCGCGCAGAAGTATTTGCGTAAAAGAACCGAATATTGTTATTGATATTTTTAACTTATTCGCCTATATTTTTCTACAGTAATGTAATAATCTCAATTCGAGTTGTCTACAGCTATTGTGTTGTTCGCAAATAAATGAAAGAAAGACACAACTTCTTAGTAGATTTCTGTGAAATCCGTGTGTTCTTATTTAATTTTCGAAGTTGCCAACTATTGATTCTAGAAAGGCTTGAGAGAATAAGTACGTACGCTTTATATCCTCGCTCTACCGGAGCGATACTTTACTCTACAAATATTTCATTCGTCATATTATTCTTTCTCCATTTCATAAAAGAGCGGCGAGCAGGAAGAATAAACTCCGACGCGGCAAATATAAATGAAATCGCGATAATCTCGCCGTCGCCGGCGGCAAGCGCTCCGGCGAAGATTATTCTCCTCGGCATTCGGACCGACGAAACGGCTTGGTATGCTAATACTGACGCGACGCGGATAAAAATGCGACTCGCAATCAACGTTTATATGAAAAACACTCCGACACCCTCCCTGACAAACCGCCCCCGACCAACGTCGTCGCTTCGCGATGTCGCGATATTACTCAAGTCTGCCTGCCTTCGTGAGCAAGTTACGCCGCGCTCTCCTCTCTTTCTGGCTTTCGTCGTCGGTTGAAAAACGGAAAATAGCTGGTACTTTGGACGGATAATGTGACGCTGCTGTATCCTGCGTCACACCGTGCCGCAACGCTTATGTGACTCTTTTCATGTGGATTCTCGTCGCAAAGCTTTCTTTTTCAAGTGTCAGCTTTTTCAAATTCAACAAAGTAACAGAAGTAACAGCTACTAGGTTTTTATCTTATCGTACATTAAAAATATATCATGTAAATAAAATAATAAATATAAATTCTCGATTTCTTGGTGAAAATTGCATTAAACTGCACGACAAATTTAAATATTTCCTTTTCAAACAGCTTGTCTTTTAATATTAAAAATATATTAACGCAAACTAGCTGTGTATAATAGAGAATATCCTATAATAATAGCGAAAAATAGACACATATCGTCTTCTTTAAAGTTTAAAGTTTATTCTTTCCTAATAAAAAACTGCAATGCAGTAACAATTTTTCAAACGAGTAAGGTTCCAAGTTTCACAGAGCATAGCGCTATATATCTCTTCTAGGAAGATTCTGTGCTACGATACAACGAGATGTTATCGTCTGGTGTTGAAAATGTTGAAAAGAGATTATCGACAATGATGTGCAATTTCGGCAACGCGACGCCGTGGCGTTGTCTCGTATAGAATACAATGCGGCCGCCTGCAGCGACAGGCCGTCGTGAAAAATTGGTCCTTGCGACTGAAAAGACTCGTAGCACCGTGTTTCCTGCGCGATAAGTAGACCTGAATAAAATATGATTAACGACGCGGATCGTTATTTTTGTATATCAAGTTACCGCGGCTACCGTGTCGGGAAACATGCACTGCGTGTGCTTTTCATCTCACTCTTCTTCTCTCATTGTCGTCGTGCGAAACAATTTCAGACGGTAAATCATGCCAAGAATTCTTGCGTCCACTACCGGGATATATTTTAATGACAAATTCTTCGAGAAGTTCGAAAATGAATCTCCGGGAAACTTAACGAACGATCATCGATTGCTGCAATTCTTATCTTGCTTTCAATATCATATATCTTGACAATCAGATTTCAAATATCCGTAACACAAAATATACGTAAAATTCAACATATTTACAACTAAAATTCAGTATATTACAATTAATTCTTTTAAAAACTGTACGTGAAAATTTTGCTACAAAAGTTTATTTCGGATTAATCCATTTCCAAAGGAATTTGTCATTGATATATCGTTTACATTTAATTGCAAGAGAATAAACAGTCGTAGACTAACGTAATAATTAACTTGCCATCGAGTTTGAATCGAGGAAGCCGAATTAGCGAATTAGATTCTATCGGGCTCGCGATTTTCAGGCGCCATTAGCGACGCTTGGCCCTGCGGGAGCTTATACTCGGCCGGCTCAATGGCGCACGACCGGCACGGGGACCATTTGGGCTCCGTGATCGCGAACGGGGTCCAATTGGGTACAAGGCCAGAATAGCTAAATCGCAGCCGCGTCGTGAAAATTGCTGCGCGACGATCGTACGGAATATCAATGGGAATTGGAGGGCCGTGTTAAGCCACGCATAAATTAACTGCGTATCAATACCTTTCTTCTCTCGTAGTATTCGAACGATATAAATATTGGACATCGTTAAATCAACGTGATTTAATTGCTTAAAGTAGATTCGTGCACAGTAAATGCTGTCAGTTTAATTATTTATTTAATTTTCGCCGAAGACTCTGAAAATATCACTTCACTTAAGAAGCGATAAAAAAGTCAAATTTCAAGTAAGTCGTACTTGTCTCTGCAGACATGTTATTTTCAAACTTATTGAAATATCGACAGCTTGTTCTTATTAAAGTGTCGAAGATAGGGATTTCTAAATGCGACGATCGACTGGAAACGCCAGAGCATTGAAAGATTCTTGCGTCTCCGTTTGGACGGCGGCCAAGGACGAGTTGCTCAACTTCGATACTCGGGTCTGCGTTCCCGATGATGCCGCACCCCCCTTTCGTCCCCGCCGGTCCGACGGACAATGTCACGACAACAATAATTATTATGCGCGATTACGCGAGTCGACAACGATAATCGCGAGTCGATGCACGTACGACTGAACGCGTATAAAAGTGCGCCACCCCGGGAGCACAAGCATCAATCGATCTTCGATCTTCGAGTTCTACGAAGCTTCCAGACTCTCTCAACAGTCAGCATGAAGTGCTTCGCCGTGAGTAAAAGTGGCAATACTTCTCTTCGAGATAATAGAGCTAAGCTAACAGCTGCGTGGCGAAAATCGATAGCCGGCAAATTCTTGACTGCGCAGTAATTTTGCGACACTATTCGGCTAATTCTAGCTTAGGCAGAAATATTGAAGTAAAGTGGAAAAGTTGCCAAAATCAAATGCGCTGCGTTCTCATAAACGATTACAAGTTCAAAAGTGTCAAAAGTGAGATTTATTTAGCAATTAATGTCCTCATTTCTCGACTGCTTTAAAGAACTCGTCGGCAAGAGTTAAAATTCGAGATATTTTACGATATGTTTTAAGAAATTGATTAAAAAATTCGAAATTTCGTTGTTTCGTGTCTGAAAAAGTGGAATGCACGTAACAACGCGTCTCTAATGTTCTCTTGAAATGCTTTCAGGTTGTCGTCCTGCTCGCCCTGGTGGCCACCGTGGCTCTCGCGAAACCCACCGGGGTGGAGGAGTCCATCGAACCGGCACAGGCCGAGCCCATCTCGCCGGAAGCAGCCAGAAACAAGCGAGGGTTGCTGCTGAGCGCGGCTTACACGGCGCCGATTGCTTATAGTGCATACACCGCGCCGGTTGCGTACTCCGCATACAGCTACCCCTATGCCTACACGGCCTATTCGGGCTACCCCTATTACGCCGCCTCCTACAGTGCGCCCTACTACTTGGCCTAAATTCGCAACCGCACAAGCCCGAAGAAACATGCGGAATTACCAATCAGCCTCTAATTTCACAACGACAACCGGCTCGACTGTCTGCAAGAAAAAAGCACTCGCAACGTGATTACGCGGGATCGAAAAAAAGTGACAGACACACAGGAATACATTAAGTAAAGTATTAAGCGTTACATTTGAATTTCTATTCATCAAGCATTTAATTTATTCGAGATACTGTTTGATTACTGTGTTTATTAATGACATTATTCATAAAAATGCGAAATAGACTCTCTAGCATTCATTTGAATTTGATTACCGGAAGAGATTTTGCTTTATGAGATATTTTATTTGTGTTGAGGCTCATTTAACTCGCTTTGAGAATATCGTTCTGCACAAATAATCGAAATGTCATACAGAGATATGTTAATTTTGACAATTAAGCATGCGAGAAAATATGGCCATAATATTAGTGATCATTCGTATGCGCAATGGAGCTTTCAAAAAGATTGCAAATAAGCAGGAAGTGAGCCATACCGGAAATCGGGCCTTATTCGGGTGAGATATCTTATTTTGTAAAAGGTTGCCAGTACTATTTCTTGCAGTTGTATCTATAAACTATGCGATTTTCTCTACGAACAATACTCGTACATCTTACACTTATTACATTAGCACGCACACATATACAGCACTTCTTTATCAAATAGTCTATATATTTACGCGAGAAAATGAAACGGACTATCCACCACATCCGAATTTGCACGAGAACATTTGCGAAATGATATTACACTTTTTTCGCAGAGTGTAAATAAAATCGTCGACAGAGCGTTGTTAAAAATGTCTCTCCGTACATTCGTCCCATTTCTGTATCAGTTACTTCACTGAAAATACTTCGATTATACGACATTATCATTCGCATTGTATTCCACTACTTCGTTTAAATATCCGTCTAAATCTTCACGAAGAGAATATTCGCAGCGTGATTCTGTACCTCATCGCATAAAATATTGAAAAAGATAAAAAAGATAATTGACGAAACGTTGCTAATAATTCTCCTTCGTGCAAGTGTATCTTCTATATCTGCTGTATATATTGAATAATTTACTCTACAAAAAATATAACATATAATGCAATGATATTAAAAGCATTCTTCTCTTTCCTATTGTCCTTCTAATACATCTGCAAAATCGATAGCACGTTTCGCGATAAATATAAGCTCGGTTTTTCTTTGGCAAACATTTAAGGAGAAGTATAATTAATATTTAATATTCCAAAGATCCTGACATTATCGAAACTCAGTTAATTCCAAGCGGGTTTGACACAAATAGAAATTTTATCCAAGCGTACATATCGGAATATTTAATATTAAACAGTTATTAAAGTTAAGCTAACCTATGAAAGTTCGGTGTAAGCCTCGCGAAAATATCTCGCTTGACCTAGATATCGCGGAGCGTTACGTACGTAGGCAGAACTACCCCCTTGACGACGACGACAGATGCATTTTTAAACGTACGCCTTTAGTAAGAGTTTAGAGCCACTCAAGAGAATACTGGCGCAATGTGCCGCGAACCGCGAGAAAAATTCCTACGAGAGATCTCGTATATTGAAAGCAGCATTTAATGTCGATTTAAAAGTATTAAAATATCGATCGAGCTTACTTTTTTATCTTCGAAATACAAAAACATTTTGTCAGGAATTTTCTTAGCTTCTTTATTCGGTAATTTTTTTTAACAGTAAAAATTCCCTTTTGCCATTGCACAAGTTTTATTATCCAGCATTGCTTGTTACATAATTTTTACACTCTTTTAATACATTTTGATCTGTCGTAAACGTAATTTAATATATTCTGTATAATTGGAAGAAGAATGACGGAGTTAATAATAAATCGTGAAACTGTATCTGTTCAATAAAATGAACGGTATTTTAAGAGGCAACTTTTAGCTTGAATAATGGAACGGAATAATGGAAGGGATCTTAAAATTTAATAACCTAAAAGGTTGACGCGTCTACGTAAGCTGTAGCGTACTCAACTTAACGGGACATCTCCATTGTTTTACTACAACGAAACAACTATAACAAATAATTATAACAATCGGAAAATGTAATCTCTAAAGCGGAAAAGCAAGGACGATAAAACTGGCACTGGCGTACATGTCGAATAAAGTATACCGATCGAAAGTATATCTCGCAGCTTGCCAAGAAAATGCGGGGCGGGTTTTATGGTTACAGCTGCGGTAACCCGAGCGTAGAAAACTTTTAATTGTCCCGTTTAATTGCTATCGTTAACCGCCCCACGTGGTAATTAAGTCGAATCGCGCGACACATCTGTCGTCATGTTGGCATGATAAATTGTGTTGAGATTATCTCGCACCGCGGGCAGGCTTCTGAGATTTCACGCTTTTATCGTCGGAAAGAAATAGACGCGAGATGTATCTTTAAAAAGTCGAAAGTATTTTCGAATATCATTGAAAAAGATCTTATTTGAGAAATTAATGCATTAGAGATAATAATAAAAAATTATGTAATATTAGAAATAATTTTAGAAATAGAAGAAATATATATATATATATATACATCTTTTAAATAAAATTTTGGCAGACTCTGTGCGGCTCATGAATAAAATCGTCGTTATTTATGTAGTCTTCTAACCTCATGATAGCACATTTACCAAGCCATTAACATGAATTAATCAGCTGCGCGTTTGTACCTCGTGGAAATGTCTACTCGGGCCAGATATAAATCAAATAACCGTCGGAATAATTTTATCATCAAGTCTCGTTAAAATCCCAATAACTGCGTTCGTAGACACGCTCATCACATTCAAAGCGAAATGCGTTTCACATCCAACGTGTCGTACATGTCAATAAAATTGCCAAAAAGTTCGCGTGTGTTTCGAACGTGCGAGTTTCGCGACGGCTGCCCGTTGACCCTTTTATTTTCGGCCGTGCTAATCCTATATACAAGGTGTTCGCCAACGAACGCATTTGGCGAACGAACGATATTAGATATTTAATTGAAACTGAAATCATTTTTTCTTGTCGAAAATCGAATTGAATGCCGTATTTTTGTGCAGTTTTCAAAGTTTCAACATTAAATATCTTCGTAGCTATTTTCCAAATCAAGATTCTGTGAAGTTTAATCGGGAAGAATAAAATTTTGCTTTCTACTTTGCATTCGTAGAGCTCGATCCGCCAAAATTATACCTCTTATGTCGAGACTGAAATATTATTTCTGTTTCGATATTTTTGTTAGAGAGAAAATTAGATGTTGCAGAGTTTGCCAGGGAATATCGCCACGTGCATCGAACGCATCTATTTTATCGAACGCCTCGTATAGCCAGTGCAAGTGGCAAACGTGCGCGTGTAATCTCGGGATTTGAAGCCCCGAACCGACGCGGTTACCAAACCGAAACGGCCGCTGCATACTAATGAGCCCTTTCTCGAAACGTCGGGCACACGTCTCGCGTTGTCTCGTATCTTCCAATCTAGTAATGGTATTAATGACATTAATCCTATCACTATATCGAGTGTGAACAAAAATCAATCGAAAATTTTCACTTGTAATAGTTAGCACACGCCAATGTGATATAAATACCGTTTCAAGCTAGTAATTTCGTTTTAACGTAATACTATAATTTTATAAATTCAAAAAAATGTACAATGACTTTAAAGTATTTTACACGTAATTTAAAGCATTTAAAGCAATTCTCAAACGGCAAAAATAAAATAAAATTACTGTATGTAATAGAAGTTGAAATGTCATCGATATTTATTTTTTTTTTGTATTTAATTTTTTTATGTACAACCCAATCCGCAAGCTATTTGTACAATTGCCACGTGAGATACACCTACGTATACGTTTTTGAATTTTTGCGTGAAATATAGAAACCAAAAAAGTCTCTCTTGATATATCGAATCGTTTTAAATATATGACTGCTGTATTTTTCGTGAAATCGGATGCATAAATCATTTCTTTCTGTACCACGCATACTAAATGTAGAGCACGTTAATCTTGTTATTTATTTTCCATGCTTTGCCATAAAAACCATGAAAAGCTTTCTACCTTCATTTTTATTTAGCTTTATTACACTTTTGTGTAAAATATAAATAAACGATTAAAGGTGACGCAGCTTTTCGGTATTTCTGCTAGAAATGCGAAAAGCAACAAATGTGCGCAATATACAGTCCATATAGTATCGTAGCAATTCATATATACAAGGTATCTTCTCAATATTGCAAACATTTTTCAAAAAAATGCCGTTTATTTCAATGTCAAGGCATTAATAATTCTCAAATTACAAGCTATCAAAAATTAAGTGTAAATCAACTAATATTCAATGTTATATGTAAGTAATTAAAGAAAATTCTGCCCCTCATTCAAAGAATCAATCAATACAAATAGAATTTTAATTTAAAAAATACTAAGTTAAGATTAAAAACAGTAGAAAGAAATATGAAGCTTTTATTTAAAAAGAAAGTCTGAAATCCTCAAAAAACAATCTCCAGCCGTAAGAAAATATGCGTTACACGAGACACCCAGTATGTAGACGCAATATTGCTAGGTGGTCACTTTCACGATTGCTACAGACAACGTACCGGCGTTTACTCATTTCCCGGATTAATTTTCCAGAAAATACGAGCAGTACGCCATACACGCCATTGTTACCCCCGCCCTTCGGCTATTAATTAAACGCCATGCAAAATGATACGAGCGTGCACCCTTAATGTATATTTTATCTTGCTGCACTCAAATTCACCTTGTTATCTTTTATGAGCATGCTTTTTGACAATTTAGATGTGCAAAATTATTCACGATTCGTACTATTCCGTATATAAAGTACGTTTTAAATTTGCGAAATTATTTTTCTCTTTGAAGTCAATTTTTTTCAGCAAAAAAAATTTAATTTTTATTGTTAATTATTTAAATAATTTAATTTCAAATATAATTTTGAAAAATTTTTCTTACATGTTGCAAATTAGCACCCGCTAATCAATTCAGGCTAATAAAATGTTTATATGCAATTAACGATATATTAATAATCTTCTGGAATAATTTTCACATTTGTGTCGATCGCTTTGTAAAGAGAGACACTTTCTGAATAACTAATTTCACGAGAAAATAACCAACTAATGACAGAGTTCTGCACTTAATTGCAGGACGAGAACAGTGTGTTAAATATCCCGGCAAGACTTTAATGTAAATTCGAAATCATCCGTACGAAGTACCAGTAGACTCGCTGGATCTGAGCTTTCCTTAATTAAATACGAGTTCGCCGGCGAACAATTTCCGCTGACTATGCTGGCTTTGCATTGCAAATCGCGGCCTCCGACAAATCTCGAGATCTGCATAAGTATAAAAATAACGAGGGACAATAATGTCCGGGTTCGAATGGACCTCGAGACAAAAAAGGATCGATGATATTTGTCCGAAAATTTAAATTCGGGATAAACTACGGTTTTCAATTCTTTCCAGTTTTCGGCAATAATTAAACCCCAATAAAAGTGAAGTGTCTGCTGTTGATATTCAGAATAATTTCATAATTATCTGTGACAATTAGTGGATTCTTGAGTGACTCTCTATAGTTTTGTACTTCTTGTTCTATTCAAAATTTATCCGTACAAAAAAGAAATAGTGAGAAATATTAATTTATTATAATCGTTACATATGCTAATCATTTTGTACATAAAAATTTTATTCGCAAATGTAAAATAAAAAATAAATATTAAAAAAAACTAACTTTTAGATATTATAAATCTAAAAAATATTTAAAAAACAAAAATATTCAATTTCAAATAAGTATTACTTTTTAATATAATGTTACGATATACTTTTTCTATGTGCCACTTTTTATCCATTATCACTTCAACTTTTTATTGATCCAATCTCATTCCAAAAGAATCAATACAGGATAAATAATCGTAAAAACTGTCTTTGCGGAAATAAAACTCGCGGAAAATACGAGAGTAATTATTTCTTGGTTATAAAGAGAGCTACAGCCACAACCAGCACATATCGCCAAAGAGATAGAAAAGAGATAAGCGACGGGCTAGTGAAAAAGGAGATAAACGACCGCATCTCACCCGGCATTTGGTCGGAAACACGCTTAATTCCCGCGTAATAGAAGGCAATTAATTTTTT